AATGTATGTATAATTAACAATCAAATTTTATAAAAAAAATTGATAATTAAATGAAGTCGGGGATCGAACCTGGGACCTCAGATGGTGACACAATGGAAACTGTTGTGTAAACCACTCGACCACTGAGGCCGCTACGTTACGCACGTTAGTTTAAAAAACTGTTGTCTGTCATATTTTTACTTCGTCGGCTAAATTTGAAAATCTCAAAACTACATTTTTGGACAAAATCCTTTTTTTGCTCTTCAAGCACAATATCAGGCAATTAAAGCTTAAAACATAATTTGCAGACCTTCTTTTAGTTATAAAGGTATAATCATCGATTGTCATATAATGATTTCTAGTAATTCTGTGTTTTGTGCCTACTCAAGAGTTCGCATTAATGGAGGTTACGAGGTTTACGAATTTAGACGACGACTTGTATTACTTTTGTTGTAACTATAAAGTGTTTGGTTTTGTAATTATGTGTAAAGTAAATCCGGTGGAAGACATAGCGTCTGTCATAAACAAGTACAGGTGTAAATGTTCAACCTCGTCTAAAAATCGATACCTTACGCATATGTACTTAGTTGTTGTAAATATAATCCCTTTTTATGCATATTATAGGTTCCATGTTTGAAAGTAAACAAAACAATAAGTGATTTGTTTACTTTGAAGTATAGAATCTATACTATACATAAAAAAGGTGGGTATATATTTTACTTAAAAAGTAAAAAATGCTATTTTGTGGCTTACAACAACTTAGATACGTGGTATATATCGAAATGTTCTTCGCATAATAATGTCATGTAAAGGTAAGATACCATACAATTGTCTTGACTCAATAAAGAATTTTATTTATCGTATTAGAAACATGTCAATACCTCCAATGAACACTATGCTGACTTTATTTTTTAACCTGTTCTGTTTTTATTGTTTTTTGATTCTTTTCTTTTTTTTTACAAAATTCGTTTTTTGTTGTTTTGAATTTTGTTTTTGTTCTTTAAGTTTTTTTTTTCACAAAATTCGGGGAGCATAATATCAGTAAATAAATATAGCTGTATACAAAAATAACAGAAAATGATCAAAAAATAAACTTGGCGTAGTGTTCATTGGAGGTATCGATTTGTGGATGATGATACGTAGAATTGACTTAACTCGGCTGCCTGCCGTGATTATGGAAAAGTGACGTTTGCGTGAAAAAAAAACAATAATAATTAAAAATATGCGATTTAGAGCAGAAAAAATTGTTTCATTTCACAACCCTCAGTAAAGTACAATCAACTATTACTTGATTCATTGATTTCTTCACATTTTCATTCTACGATTAATAAAATTTTAAAAAATCTTTATGACAAATGGCGCTAACAAAATGACTAATTCGAAAAGTGCTATTATTGAGAATTTCGAAAAAAAAATTTACGAACAAATCATTTTTGTGATACCCAGTGATGGGACGAACAAATGCGCCTAGTGGTAAGTGACACGCTTGTACATACATAGCAGTTGCCGTGCCACTCAGAGCTTTAAATCGCAAAGAGGGCACTGCCACCAAATAAAAATAACTAACATGTTGTCTTTCACATCAAGTAGAATTTTGTCATATTTGTATATAATAGTAGTCACCTTGTAGTAACTATTGGTGCCACGTAATTATTCTTTTTTATCTATTTAGTCAAAAGTTATTTTTCAAATTCAATCAGTTTATTGTTGAAGGTGCGCTAATATTTATATAAAAAACATAATAACACAAGGTTCTTTGTAATCTATTCCGGTATTGTGTATTATAAACTTCCTTTTCCGAAATTGCTTTAATTATAATTTAAAAGATACTGTAATTTACACAACATTTAACATTTTCTTTAGTAATTTTTTAGTTTAAAATACATTTTTCGTCATCATATTCGCACCCTTGGTTTAAAAGGGCCATATCTGCAAAATGGCTACTTTTCAAGATCTCTCTTGAAAAAGTTGGTTTAAAGATTTTACAAACGAAATTTGTTGATAACATTTTTACGATTGATACATCATTAGTTTCATGTAAGTCGTATTTTTACTACAATCATACGATAAAAGCACTTGACGAATTATCACATGTGGCTTTTTTGTACCAAAGGTAGAAATTGTAGATCAAATTGGCCATCTTTATTTGAAAAAAAAAAAGGTGCTATCTATCCATTTATCTAAAGCGTTTTTCAATGATGGCAAGTTATTAAACTACAAGATAACTAACTACACTGTGTTTAATACACTTTAGGATCATTACGTCTTTATCTTTGTTTACTCGAACCATCATTGGATGGATAATTTGCAGTTTAACACCAAGTGCATTGTTGTGTTATACTACGTCTTATGAACTATTCAAAACTTATGATACTTGGTATAGTTGTGATTAAATGTTTTAAATGTTTATGACGACATGGTATTGTAGATTAAGAACCCTTTGACATTATTCTCTACTTATTAAAGTTATGTACGGAACAGTTAGTTTTGCATTTTTTTCTTAATTTTGATAAACAATAAATAAAAGATATTATTTCGGATGTCAATTTGAAATTCTCGCGAAAAGGTTTTTAATTTTTAGCGGTATTCCATGTCAACGGCATAGTCGAGATACGCGCCGGAAAGAGCAGTAACGCTGTCTGCATTTATGCTGGAAGTGGCTTTCAAGTTGCTAGCGAGGTTAGCTTAATTATTATTATTATATTCATACTATTACATAAAAATGCGTTACAAACGCGTTGCGGTCGCAGTTATCAGTAATACATTTGAAGTCATAAGTTTTATCCCAACGAATCATATTGTAAGCTATTTTGCATGAGATAAGTAAAAAGCGAAACAATAGAGCGGAATAATAATAATTACTCTGAAGGCAGAGAATACGGTTATAGGAATGGTGTTACATTTGAAATACCCTCTTCAAAGGTTCAAAGTTCAAGGGCAACTTTAGCGACAATAAAAAAACAGTTAAAGGATCCGAGGTAAACCGCCTCGTACAAAAACTCGTCTACCACTTTTTCCTCCCAGTTTCCCGAATTTTCCTTTTTGGAAAATTTCCCTTGCTTTGATGTTTTGAGTGTCACCCTCCGAATTTTGGCGTTCGTCGCCCCTTAAGTGTTTGTATACACTTGAGCACCGGGCCAATGTTCAGAAATAGCATTTTCTATCAAGAGTTTGTTAACTTTAGAAATATACTGAGAGATACGTTCAATAGGCTTTGCGCTCAACGATTTGAAACACCTTTTTAAGAACATGTGTACTTTCTATTGTCTATGCTTCTTGTTTGTACCTTGTAAAAGCCTCCTTCCGTTACCACCGTTGCTAGTTTATAATGCTTTACATTAATATCGTAGTTCTAGCCATTTTTCTGTCCTAAGCTTATTGAAGCTGAAACAATATGATTAAGAAATAAAAAAGCATAGACAATGAAAAAATCTCAAAAGGAGTTTGAAATAAAAAATGTGCTATAACACAGGACATAGGCAAATTGTATTGTTAAGATCTTCTTATGAATTATGATCAGCTGTATGATATTATTTTCTTTAAAAATATTTTGTTTATAGGTAATGATAATTTTGCGTGAGCGTTTTTCTATTCGTCTATTTTTCAGTAAACGTGCGTGGGCCATGTCACTTCGTTTTATAGCATGTTAGTGGTGGATATATTCAAAATAGAGGTACTCTTGCGCTCATAAAATGTGTCATGTTTGAACATGTCGTAAATATTAGTGAAACCTTCATTTTAAATGTTTCTTGTCACTATTATGTTGTTACCAAATTTGATTGTTTTTCGTCGTATACCTAAATAATTGTGCAACAATTTAAATCATTATGCAGTCTGCTTGTGTTATGGACTTATCTAGGTATAGGTAGTTCTATGAGTAGCAAATTTACAATGTAGTCATATTTTGAATATAATTAACATTTTACATTAACATGATTATGGGAACCACCGTATTTTGTAGATTGTTGTGAATTTCTACGTGATTAAGTACATGGAATTTTATTTTGAATCAACGTCTTTGTGCTTTAAATTTCAAGTTATGTTAAACGGCGGAAGATTAATTAAGTTAAAAACTAATCATCTTGAGTTTATAGATTACATTGTGAGTTCAATATGTTGTATCTTTTTATTTTTAAACATTTATCTGTTTCGGGGTTAAAGTACGTGCTATAAGGTATTTCAATGTTATGTCAAATTTAGGATTTTTGTAAATTTACTAAATCCATCGTGTAAATAAACTTTTTTATATCGTAAACGTACTTAAAATATCTTCATCTACATACAGAGAAAATAAAACAAGTAATTAATGCAACGCCACGTTCCGTCGGGTGCAATGTTTTGGCAAAAAATGCGCCTATGACGCAAGCGTAACGGTGAGCATGTTTCGGGATTTTTTACTTTTTCTCGTCTTATTTGCAGTTTTAAAAACTTAATTTTTCTAGTAAAAATAGCAGCACCGCGAGATTAATTATTTTTAGTGATTTTTCTTAGTTTTCGGTGTTCCGTAAGTTTAACGGGTTTCTGTGCAAGTGAAGAATGTTTGCCCTACAAAATGTTGATGATTGCTAGCCTCTGTCGGTCAAAAATAATTATTTGTGTTCAATGTTAGTTGTTGGCTAAGAGCACATAAATTTTGTTGTCCATTTTTTCTAATCAGAAGTCATTGTGTTATTACATAGCGTGCTTAGAAAACTTAAATTCTTTACTTTTTTTTCGTTTTCAGTGTTACTCATCGTTTTTAAGAAAGCGGCTTTTAGTTGCGTTGTTATGTAAACAATTCCACGCGGTTGGAACTTTTGTTTAAATTGGCAGTTTTGTAACAGTCTTAACGTTGCTTTTTTGTTTATATTCCTAGTTCTTTTTTTACTTACCGCGTTGCACACGTTATGAATGTGATTTGTTAGCAAATTTATCACACACAACACTTGTAACCACGTCTGTACGTTTGTAACAACGCGTTCACGATCACAGGCGATTTGTAACGAGCAACGATGGCATATGCTGCTGGGGGCCGTACTGACCTGCCACTTTTGGTGATCACCATCTCGGTGCCCAGCTTGTGGAACTTCTCCCAGAGGTCCTTGCCCTCGAGGGTGACCTTAGGGTCGTCGACGACGCCGTCGTCGTCGGGGGGCAGCGGCGCATAAGGCGGCGGCGGCGGCTTCAGTAGCGGGCAGGGCGCGGACAATGCGGCGGCTAGTGCGGCTGGCAGGTACGGCGGATGAGGCAGCGCGCCCGCCGTCAGCAGCGCCGACACCGAGAAGTCACTCGGCCGCGGCGCCAGCAGCGGGTGAAACGCGACGGCGTCGCGCCGCTCCGCTCCCTCGAAGCGCATGCCCGCGCCGCCCGGGGCCCACGGCGCGCGCTCCACGACCGGCGTGCCCGTCGGCTCCAGCGGTCGCGCTCGCGCCCGCTCATGCAACGTCCATAACGCGCCGGCCGGCGGCAGCTCGCGACACTGGCTCGTCCCGTGGCGACACCCGCTCGCGCGGCAGGCGTCAAACGACTGGCCGCCGGCGGCGCCGGCTCCGACACCCCTCCCGCGCGCGCCGCCCAATGGCGCGCCGAGCGGCGCCCCGCGCGCGCCCTCCCGCGCGGCAGGCGGGGCCGCGGCGCCACGACGCGTTGTTTTTTCGTCGCGGGCGAGGTGTCCGCCGCCGCCACACCTCGCGCGCCGGCTCGCGCGCCGCGGGGGGAGGCGCGGGCCGAGGGGTGCTCCGCTAATCTGGTTAATGCGGCGCGCGGGGGCGACACTCGCGGCCGCCGCTGCCGCCTCCTTCTAATTGGACACGTTTCCGTTCGTTCATCAATTGAGCTCGTTACGTTCTCGCAATATCTTTTGTGTGGCTAGGTAGAGCTGGACCTCTATTGCGGAGGACTCATCGCCCCATCCGTTGTCTCGACGACTTCCTATCACTCACGTCGGGGAGTTCAAGTTGGCGACGAAACTTTTTGCCAATAAACAAGTTTTGCATAAACTTATTCCGCCCTTTAAGTAAATGTTAGAAGTTCTCAGAATTCAATCGAACATGTGCCGGAACTCTTTAGATATCTGTATCTATTTGGAACACTTTGTCAAACATTAATTTTGGAAATATCTTATTTGTCCTTTAATAAATATACATACACTGAATTATTTTTACCTTATTGGAATAGAATAAACCAGGAATCCTAAGTAATAATAAAAGCGTTTTGTGCGCGATTGTACGCCGCCGTAGCGTTAGCACGTAATGCATGAGCGGCCGTGGTAGGCCGTTTCATTGATGAAGATAATTTAAATAGGTTTGTTATTATATTTAAAAGCTTAAGCATTTGTTTTATTTCATCTCATTACCAGATTCAAATTTATTAATTTATTTCTCTAATAATGTATAACATAATTTAGAAACAACTATACCTACTTACTTATATATAATTAAAGTTTTTATGAATAGTGAGAATCGTCTTAAAGGTATCTCTATTGCAGAAATACTAATAATAAAATAAGTTCGTTCAATTCTTAAGAACGTTCTTAACAAGTATGTAAATAAAAAAAAGATAAATGGTTCCTCAGATATTTAATGTAGGCTAGTAATTACAAAATCATATTTTGAGTGACAAACTGTTGATACTTCCGCACGAATATAAATAATAAAGCCACACGAGATCATACGTCAAAAGTGCTTTTATCACACTAAAGTTATACAAGTACCTATAACAATACGATCTACATAATGACAAATTATAAATAAGTGAAATTTCAACGTATACATACACACACACACACACACAACGTATGTACAACGTGTACTAATTTCGTTCGTAGAATTTTTAAACCTTTCTCCTGAAATGTTGTCATTTTGCAGATATGACCTTATTATAACTATAATATAATATTAATCAATAAATTTATTTATTTAAAATTAAAAAATAATAAAATATAATATTTATTAGTTACTGTAAGCGCCCAGTTACACGAGGCGAAAGTTTTCGCTCGGCCTCCGCGCGGCGACCGCCCGATAACAGTAACCTCGCCTTCATGTACATTAATGGCGTTTCTGCATTCTGTTTACTAGGCAACAGCATTTAAATTCCTCCGAATAATTTAATCGCGTAAACCAAATTCAAGCCAGACTTGCCCGCGTGCCCGGGACGCTCATTTAAGTTAAAACGTAAAATCTAAGTAAAATAGAGCATATTTTGCCGTGACATAGCAATTAGACCGCACGCGGTCGCTGCGCGGTGGCAATGCGGACTCGGACTCGGTCGCGCCGGGTGAGCGCGATGAAATTCGTGTTGAATAAATGCGCCTTAAGACCCTTCTTACCCCTTTGTCGGTGACATCACAAGAGATAGGTCGCATTTTAGTATTTACAGATGTCGTTTATTTGACAGAGGATAAAATTCTTTAAAATAACTCTTGTAAGGTTCCATAGACGCCTTTAAAGGCCCTCACTACAGAGAAGTCTGTTTGAACAACCATCACAGTTCTGCCCTTGGCATCATAACTAACTCAATCGCATTTTTAGCGAAATTGAGTTATTAACATGTCTGGGATGAGCGATACACGATCTACAACCCCCTCTAATCGGTTTTTAAATATCTTTTATTGTATTTATTTATTTATTATTTGTAAGATTTCCTGCAAATTTTTATCTAATTACAAATCTCCACAAGTAGCACAAAAATAGGTTATTAACGCTTCAGTAAGCAGAAACTAAAACATTATTATTGAAATGTAAACAACATACTATTTTACATTGATAAATCACAAGTACACGTGTCAATGATCCGGGGAAAAAAGAAAAATATTTAACTACTTACCTATACCTACACAGAGGAAACGAAACAAATGAGAGACAGGTAATTAAGTAAAATGTAAAACATGAAAATCTTATTAGTTTCAGGATTATTGATAGCCAAATTCAGCGTAATGACATTTTTCAAAGAATAAAGTCTTTGGGTGCAAATGTTTGGAAAGTTACCAAAATGCAAATACGTTGGTTTATGATAAGGAGGGAAGTGTTCAAGCTAAGTTAGCCTGTCCACGAAAGAAAATTTAAGATCACGATTTAGTACCTCAGAACGGTTACACACGGCGATTTAGCAGCGGTGCATACGCGATGCAAGCGCGCGACTGGTATCGATACGAACGCGCGTTCCACGAACGCGCGTTTGCATCGCTGCTAATAGTCTCCGTGTATAATCACTCTTACTGCCGTCCACTAACTACTTACAACGCGGCTAAGTGACAAATGGTCAAATATCCGTTTTAAATAGCAAAAGATAGAGCACAAAATTCTTTTTTAAAAACAGTTAAAATTAGTTAACGTGTTCGACTTATCGGAACTTACCCTAACGATACATAGCTGAAATATCATTAAGCATTTTCAATTTTCTGGGTTATGGTTTTTTATGATATCTCAAAAAAATTATTTTGATCTTACCCGCGTTTTCGTTAGCGGACGGCAGCTTAGAGTAACCACAAAGTGTTATTTAGGGACAAAAAGTGAGCTCTTCACTAAAAAATAACACTGAAACAGCCACTTGTTAATGGTTTTCAAAGCGTAAAGTGTAAAGCTACACTTACCTAATAGGTATCAGCAACGTTGACGCGTTATGCTTTAAAGGGTCTTTTTCGCGCCGTTACTTACGCGAAGAAAGATAAAAGAAGTCTAGATCGTATTTTTATTATAACCAAAAGATAAATTTTCACAAAAATAGGGTTCACAAAACAAAGGACAATTTTTTGAGACTGGGAAGACATTAACTTCGCTAAGAGTACATTAACGAGGTTTGTTAAGGTAGTTAATTTATAATTGCTTCTCAAATGAAGCGCATAAAATAACCGTAGTTAATTTTATTTACTTATAGGGGCACTATAAGTTTACGATATTATTTACTTCAGAGCTTTTGCGAAAATATAGATTTTGAATAAAGTAGAAGTTAAGTAGAAGTCCTTTATAACGAGGAATTTTTAGAGGAACTATTCGTAATGATGCCACCGTCACGTTTCCTCCATCGCATCTTCCACCAGAAGAGCACCTATAGAGCCATTCCTCACATCCTTGATCTTCTACTTATTATCGATGGTTAATGTACAGTAATGTAATAATATAATATATAGTATATATAATGTATAGTATACTATCGTGGTCAAGAACTAGCCATGCCGATCGCGTCATCACAAAAACCGCTATTAAATCTTCAAGCGCCGAAAACCCCCATGTGAACTATAGTATTCGTCCCGTCACTGGGTATCATAAAAAATACTGTCAGAACCACTTTGAATGGCGAAAAAAGAAATCATCATTAACAATATCTGCTAGTTGTCAGAATACTTCTTTGGGCATATTCTAGTACTCTCTGTTGTTTCACGTTTGTGTTCAAAATAATTAAATCGTAAAAAGTGTTTTATGCTAAATTTTGATACATATTATTAATACGGCTTAAACGTATGAACCAGTGAAATGTATTCGTGATGATCTGTCAAATCACCTCGAAAATCTTTCTTCATCCTTATTACGTGCATCCAGTACCGTATCCACATACATGCATTCTATACCTATACATTATTTTAGCACTAAAAAAAATTAGTTATCATAATCTTGGGATTTAAAACAAATAGTTTTGTTTAAAAACATAATTTAAAACGAACTTTTAAAATGTTATGAGAAATAAAGCGCCATCTACCGGCGAGTAGCGTAAAATACGCGTTACGTAATTCGAGTAGTTTTTTAACAATCTTCCTTATGAAATAAGGGATATTTAAGCAAGATACTTCCTATTCCAGAAAGGCGTTACTACTAAAATGACAATTTTAATAAGTGGTAAGAACAGCGAAAGTGAAAAACCAAAACAAAATAAATAATTAGGATAACAAATTGTTTAACTGAGTGTGAGCTGTTACGGAATTCGTAATCTACTCAGCTTGTTGTCGTTACCCAGAAAGTGGAGCGACCTTGAATTTCAGTGAAACGCAATATCATAATTATTAAGTATTATTTATTTATTGTGCCTTGGTTCTATAGCCATCAGTTTAAAAACGTAACAAATAGTTAAGAAACACAAAACGTAGGTACGTAAAATTTACTCAAAATTAGAAATAAATTTGTGTAAAAATATTAAACTAGAAAAACCTGTCATTCGCCTTGTATTGGGGTTAAAGTATGAAATTGCCGTTTTATTGCAATAGGTTCTTTGAATTTTCATAGAATCTTCATGGTTTGAGGTTTTCGAATGAAACTTTCTTCAAATGGTTTCTGTGTTTTTTTTTTTAAATTTGAAACATTTGAATATCGACTTTCAATTGTTTTTGTTATTCAATTTAGACAAGAAAGATGGATACTGCGAAAATTCGAGTGATTTTTGAATACGAGTTCCGACGCGGAACTAACGCGGCAGAAACAGCCCGCAATATCAATGCTGCGTTTGGAGAGGGGTCTACTAATGAACGCACCGTGCGATTTTGGTTTAAACGCTTTCGTGATGGAAATTTCGACTTAAAGAAC